GGGGGGGGGTCTGAATTGAGCGATCAATTATTAGACCCGGACGTCCCAACACTTGCTTCGCAAGACAAACTCAAGGTATCCCCTAAAGGGCTACCTTTCGTGACATGCACATGTACATACAAGATTGATGACTTACCGGTGAACCGTCCAATTTTGACTGACAACATGCAAATCTGCGGTTTCTCTTCTCATCCGATTGCACACCAAGAACCAAGTTCCATGTTCACAAACAAAACCAGCAAGGTCATTCACTCGATTTCATGATGTAATGCGGTTGCAAAAGTGGAAAAAGCGCCTCACGTGACAAAAACACAAAAGGAAACATGGTTTCACTGATCAAAGTTGCAGGATTTGCTGCTTCCCGGTGCGTTGAAACCAGTTCGCAAACACACATCCGGGCCGGTCTCCTTTTATGATGAAGGTGGCTGATGGATACTGTATGTTGACTCCCAGCAAACAGGGATGGCGAAGCGGCAAATGAGCAATGCAAAAGATCATTAAAAAAGAGCCGAAAACAACAATTTGTTTGCAAAAAGCAAGCCCTGACGATTTTTGTACTGTAGAGCGACTAGGACTACGAGCGGACATGCTCAACTGTACACTTCTCTGTTTGTGTGTGTGCCCCTTGTAATCACAGGGATCCCTTTGGATTTTTCTTTTCAGCAGGGGGCGGGGGCGCAGCAGATGCAAGGAACTGCGCCTAACAAAGCTACCTTGCATCTGGGAAGCAGAGCCTGATCAGCTCTGTGCACCTGCTCGAATTTTAAGATTTGGGTAAAGGGCTAATGCATTGGCAGATGTGAGCGGACCGCCTTCAACCTGTTCGACCCGCTCGCCGCCTTCGATCTTCCGCTTTGGGCCCTCTTTCCTCTTGAAGACCCCCAGGCTCTTTAGGACTTTCCTGGACCTTTCAGGATTTGGGTTTCTTAGGCTGGCGTGTGGCACCGCTGTCAAGTCAATACGCATATCCATAAGTGTGTTTGGCCTTGTGCCAACCCGGGATGAGCCCGTAGAGCGCCGCCCGTGGACCCGTCGAACAGGGGTTTGTCGTTGTTTCCCTTGCTTCGGAAACGTAAGTGCCCATAGCGGGCGAAGCTGGCTTATGCCACAAGAATTTGGATGTTCGTCCCATCTTTGGAATTCCAAGGTGGCTCATGCCTTTACGTGACCGCAGCGGTGATATGGGCCATATTGATTGTATGGGCAGCAAAGTGAACCGGGGCTGGTTGTGTTGCATGTCGGAAGAAGCCTAGGATAGGGAGCCCGAAACCAAGATTCTCCTATTTTAGACAGGGATCTTGTGTGTTTGGAAACAGGGCGGCAACTTCGTGAACGCCAGTCGTTCCAGGTGAACTCGGCTTGCTGTTGTTGAGTCAGCCTGCCGCCCTGCTCACGAGAAATTCAAGCTGAGGCATTTGTAGGATGCCGGATCGAGCATTATTCTTCCGGTAGGACACAGAACGTTTGGAGAGTGTGGCCAGTTGGCCCGCTTGCACCACTGAAGACTTGCGCGGACCACTTGGAGCCCAAATGGAAATGATTCGATGGACCGCCAAGTCACCTAGTCGTTGCAGTAGAGACACAGGGCGGTCACCGATGTCACCCAAAGCCTCGACCGTGGTGCCTCCTCATCCATTTCATTGAGAGTTGGCATGCCCGGGCCGGTCAGAGGGTCCTTGCTGCGCTTGTAGCCGGCCGTGATGCATCGACGCCACTATTACCCAGTTCATGCGGCAGAGAACTTCCTGTGTAACTGGAAACCTTGTGACAAGGAGCTGCAACAAACCCTTCACATCACTTGTGTGGAGGAATCTGCACGATGGATGGGTAGCCAGGCGCTTTTTTTGTTTCCGGGATTGTTTTGTATTTGCTTGTTGGGTGCTGGTTTTGTGGTTGTTGGGTTTTGTGGTTCTGCTGTCTGGTTCGCAACCCTCCTTGCAGCACACACGGCATCTCCATCCGTGCAAAAAAAACTTTGAAGTGCAGATTTCGTGGCAGGCGCAGCCTCGATGTGCACGAAATCTGTGGCAGGCGCAGCAGTTGGTGAACCTCAAAGCAATTTCGTGGCAGGCTTGGTGAACTCTGGAAGTGCAGATTTCGTGGCGGCACAGCATTTGGTGAACCTCGAATCGAAGCACTTGGTAAACCTCGAAGTGCAGATTTCGTCGCAGGTGCAGCACGTAGCGAATTTCGAGCACTCTGTGACCCTCGATTTGCAGATTTCGTGGCAGGCGCAGCATTTTCTGCTCTGATGCTCACTCTCTCACACTGTAATCGACATCATCATGCGATCTGGAGCTACGTCCGGGTTCACGTCGTCGGCGGTGAGCTCGATGGGATTCCGAAAGAGGATGCTAAGCTCGCCATGATCCAGGAGAAAGTGGAAAGAGAGGGTAAGCAATCCAAGGAAATGTCAAAAACATGAAAATCATTCGTAGTCAATGGAAGGTGGAAAGTGGCTTTGATCAAATCAGAATGGCTGGAGCCGTAGGCCATCAAATACAAGCGGAAAGCAAGTTGAAAGTGAAAAAACACGTGTAAAAGGAGGCTAAAATCAGTGTGCGGTCACCGTGCAGTAGGTTTTTTGGTCGCAAGAATACGGGGTGAAACGTACCGGCTAAGGACCAGTTGACCGAAGTCGAGAGCGGGGCCGAGAGCGAGCGATCAGACGGGTTCGAGGTACAGTGCCAGGAGGAGGTGGTCCCGAAGACGGAGGTGCCCGGTTAAAGGTGTTGTGAGTCCTGGTAGTCAACGATGAGGTCGGTGTAGAAGGAAGTTCAGAACGATAGGGAGGATGAGGTCGGCCTGCAAAGATGGGGATGCCGTGAACAGTAGTAATCGAAGAGGTAGTGGAAAGAGGTACGCGGTCGCCAAAGGCCGTGCGACCCTGAAGTTCAGCTTCAAGTTGGTCTGGACTGTGGTGCTCAATATGTAAGAGGCCCAAAGCGGTGAGGAGCTCGTAGTTGTAGTGAATGGCTGTGTGATTGACCCGGAGTGCAAGTAGTAGTGTGTTGTCAAGACCTTTGAGTTGTGCACGGAGGTGTGGATGGGTCACCCGATCGAGAAGGGGAGTAGAACGAAGAGCAAGTGGTTGGTGGAGAATAGTGTGGATGTGGTCCAAGGAAGCGTGTACATGAAGAAGTTCCCGATCTAGAACTGCTTGTGCAACGAGAGATATACCTGGAGTCGGTGCGAGGCCACAAGGCGGAGAGGGCGCGCCGGACATGGCTAAAGGCAGGGGGGGATGATCGAATCGGCTCGAATCGGACGGATTGCTGAGAGCCAAGGAGGTGGGACAAAGAAGAAAAACAAGATGGAGCCCACGAACCCGAATGCAAACACGTTCAAAAAGCTACATATGTTCAAATGACTCTTGTAGGACACTCTTGTGGGTCACTCTTGTAGGAAACTCTTGTGGGACACTCTTACGGGACACAGTCGTGGGACACTCTTGTGGGACACTCTTGTGGGACACTCCAGTAGGAAACTCTTGTGGGACACTCTTGTAGCACACTCTTGTGGGACGCTCCTGTAGGACACTCTTGTGGGACACTCTTGTGGGGCACTCTTGTGGGACACTGTTGTAGGAAGCTCTTGTGGGACACTCTTGTAGGACGTGGGACACTGTTGCGGGACACTCTTGTGGGACACTCTTAAGGGACACTCTTGTGAGACACTCTTGCGGGACACTGTTGCGGGACACTCTTGTGGGACACTCCTGTGGGACACTGTTGGGACACTCTTGTGGGACACTCTTGTGGGACACTCTTGCAGGACACTCTTGTGGGACACTCTTGTGGGACACTCTTGTGGGACACTCTTGTGGGACACTCTTGTGGGACACTCTTGTAGGAAACTCTTGTGGGACACTCTTGTGGGACACTCCTGTAGGACACTCTTGTGGGATGCGGAGCACCACATCACGCAGCCCTGCCAAGCAATTTCGCGATTCCAGCCCCTCCAAACGACGCCCGCTCACAGGCCAATCCCAATGTGACAGCGACATTCACCTCTACCGCAACTCACAACCTCCCGATTCCCTGCG